GGAACCCAAACATAGGACCTCGACACTATACCATATAAAATATAGTAATACAAAAAATTTGTTCTAGTAACATGTTATTAATATTGCATTAACATATAGTATAAATATACCATCAGTAGATTACTTTCTTTTCCTTAATGCTTTCTTATGATTCAATTAATTTAAATTAAATAAGACTTTTCATGATGGCTCAATGGCATGGTTATCCATCATTGCCCATATAAGTAAAAGGCATTGTAGAGAATTTTAAGATATTACCATTCTTGTGGAACTTTTGTCAATAAGTTTTTGAAGAACTGAAATGATAGGAGAAAATTGGAAAGACACTAATGAGAAAATTTAAAGGAAATTTTAAGATATATAAAAAGTAGTCATGAGGTGCTCAGCCTGGCTTATGATAGAATAGATAGTAATGCCATAAATAGAAATCAGTAGGTTTTATTAGTAGCTCTGACCCAAATAAAAGTATTCAATACAATGCACTTATGGAAATATAATAGCTAGCATTGGTATGAAATAAATCACAACACAACACTTGATGCAAATAAATCATGAATCAATAAAAAGGTTTTTTAAAGAAAAAGTATGATCTTTATATGAAGGAATTTGACTTTCTAGAAAGAGAGTCAAATATATATACAAGTAATACACTGTGATAACTGTAATATCACATATGAATAAAGGGTTAGAAAAGAAAGTTGATTTCTGGACTGGGGAGTTTCTTAGACATCCTTATGAGGTAAATTTCAGAAAAAAAACTCCATAACATATTGCATAATTGATACAGATACTCAAGGCAAATATTTAGATAATACTTCACAAAGCTATATCATTGGTATGAAATGGGAAAATGTAGACAGAGATGTTATGAAGTGACATCTAAGAGAGGCAGATGTCAGATCATGCAAATCCAGGTAGATTTTGATAATTATTTTGAATACACATGAGTAGCAATAGATAGCCATTAGTTGATTTAAGTACAATAGTGATGTGATCTGAAAAGGGAATGATAAAACATAAAAAATGAAAGCCAAACAAAAGTTTTCATAAACTAAAAGTACTTTCTAATATTCACAAAATTTGTTGATCACTGATTGACTTAATTTAAGTCTTAGCTAGCAACCATCATCCCCAAGGTGAATATACTTCTAGACTAGGCATCATTAATGTCTAAATAATGCAGCTGATCATTTAAAATAAATAAAAGTTTCAGATAGACTAAAATTATTATGTTTTTTAATATAATAATTTTATTTAAAACAAGAAAGATAGTTCTTACATCACCAGGAAGTTGATCCCGAGTAAAGATGGGCCATGTTTTCCAGTATAGATCATGACGAAATCTCTTATGAATCTGTTCCCCAATACCATACATATATTCACTGGGAAGTTTTGTTGATATCTGTAAATATTGGTCAGCATACACCAGAGGACCAATGCTGGTGTCGAACCTGAACCATAAAATAAATAAATAACCTATAAATACAGGTGAAATGTTCTAACAAGTATAGGTTTATGGTAACATTACACAGAGTATTTCATTTTAAAGATGTCAGAGTTTAGTTTGTGGTTTCTTCATTGGATAAAAGTAATTGCATCAAAATAAGAACTAATTAATTACTTCAACCAAATTTGTCTCACCATCACAAATTTGGACCTTAACTTATATCCCCACTTTTAATTTCTATCACAAACCTAATAGCTACTAATATTAATTACATTTAGAGAAGACACAGATTGAAAAATTAATTCATGTTTTCTAAGGTCTCATCTGGTAAATGACAAAACCATGCTTCAAGTCCAGTTTTGCCTTGCTCCAATATCAGTTCTAAAATAGTGTTATGCTGACTTCAACACTTCTGATACTTATGTTAAAAACAATTTTATAGTCATTTTCCAATAAAGGAAACCCTGTGTGTTTTACGCTGATTAAATATATACTACAAGAAATGCTAAATGGCATTTAAACTTTTTAGGATTTCACGATAGAACACAAAGTCAATTGTAAAGAATTTATCTTGAAAATATTCATAAATGCCCTACACAAATACCTCCCCCGTCTGAATATATTCATAATGAAGGTATTAGCTTATATTTAATTTTATAGGTACAAGAAAGCTATTTTAATATCAATAATTTTAGGAATACTATTAATATTTCTAACTATTTCTTCAATTTAGCAACTAATACTATAAATAATCAACAGAATCAGAAGAGTAATGGCAGAAAGGACACAATAAAATATAAAGTATTATCAATGGATGCCTGGTGGTGGTGGTTGTTGTGTACCTCCAAGTTGGTTCCAACTCATGGTGACCCTGTGTAGGGTTTCCGAAACTGTGAGTCTTTATGGAACAGAAAGCCTCATTTCTCTCATGGACCAGTTGCTAGATTCGAACTGCTCATCTTGAAGCTAGCAGTCCATCTCATAAGCCACTTTGCTACCAGGGCTCCTTAGGTATTCATGAATATAGACAAGGTTATAACTTTATTAAAACCATGATTATCCAAGTTTTTAATCAACACTAACATGTAATTTGATAACCGTTGGCACTGAATGAAAGGAATTCTTCTTCTGTGTGGTATGCCAACGTAAGAGGTAGGTGACAAATGTACAGCTGTTTATGGTGTAGCTTGAGCCTAAAGAACAAAGCTCCAAAGTATTTAAAATGGAGAACATTTAGGGTGAGCATCCAAGGGTGATTGAAGAGAAGTTCAAAATTTTGAGAAATATGCTGGAAGTATTATTGGTAGGAACATTTTTCAAATATATTTGAAAACTGAAATGGCATTATCTATGCCTAACAAGAAGCCCTAATTGTGGCACTGAAATATAAATACTGGACTGCTAACTGAAAAGTTGGCGATTCATACATGTTCCATGGAAACCCTATAGGGGCTGCTCCTTGGAAAATCTGCATAGGATCCTTATGAATTGGGGCGGACTTGACAATATCTCTAGCAGAGTCATAACTTTGTATTATAAGAACTTGAACCATATACCTACATCTAGTATGTTGTTAAGTTCTGTCAAGTCAGTTCCATCACACAGTGACCCTGTAAAGTGTTTCCAAGGAGTGGCTGGGAGGTTTGAACTTCCCATCTTGTGGTCAGCAGTACAGTTCTTAACCTACAGTGTCACAACAAGATTTACCTAGTATTTATCTAACCACTCCTTGGAAATCCTTTAAAGGATCTCTGTGAGATACAACTGACTGGACAGCACTTAAAAACAGCATACTAGATATAGGTATATGGTTCAAGTTCTTATAGTACAGAATTATCTGGCTCTCTTAGTGAGCTTGAACCATATACTTATATCTAGTATATGAACAGGAATCTTGGTGTGGCGCTGAGGGTTAATGTGCTTTACTGCAAAGTCGGTTTGAACCGCGGTGGCTCAAGTTCACCAGCCACTCCTCGGAAATGCTAAAAAGGGTCGCTAAGAGTCAGAGCCAACTCAGGTGGCACTTAAAAACAAAAACAGTATTATGAATAAGAAGTCCTAGTGTGTCACTGTGGGATAATGCACTCGACCATGGTTCGAACTCACCAGTCACTCCTCAGAAGACTTACACAGGGTCTCTATGAGTTGGAACCAACTAGACGGCACTTAACAACAAGTACATAACTATATTAATAGTTGTTGTTGTTAAGTGCCGTCGGGTCGATTCCGACCCATAGTGACCCTATATAAGGTTTCCGAGGAGCAGATGGTGAGCTTGAACCGCCGACCTTGTAGTTCAAACGGCTCTGCAGTCTGGCTCATTAACCAAGAGTCCATATTAATAGTATACATAAGTATATATTTTTCATCTCACTGTGGAAGAGAAATTTTAATTCATTAGCATTTTAACAGACAGATATTTTCTTTGAAAACCATTTTTACCCGCTTCATTGATTTAGTAGTCACAATTCATGTAAATCAAAAAATACTCTATTTACAGAAATTGTAGAATCATGATAATGTAAAGATTTTATAATACACAGTTTTGGAGTACAGTTTCATGAAAAGCTACAGGTGGACTTAGTGTATATGTGTAACATCTCTTTTCAAACACACACATACACTAGTTTAAGTCTAGTTATAGCATTGAACACTTAAACGGAGAAAAGGAAAACATGAAACTGGCTGTCAGCATATAAATTATTGTGATATTTTATATACTGTCAGTTTTTAATTATGATCCACATTCTCATACTTCACATCCACTGGAAACAGAATCCTTTTACAAGGATAATTTCTACAAACATGTGTACCAACCTTTTTGGGGAGTATATTCTTTCTTTTTGAAAATACTTTAAAATGAAGACATTTCCAGTTAGATAATAATTTTTAAATGTAGACCTTTATTTAAACTTACATAAATGGAAAATACAACAACTACTTACAAAATTTTGTTATTGCTTTTTCTAAGAACTTGGATGCTAAATGGAGCGTCTGTAACTTTCACGTCATACAACGCTTGAGAAGTTGCAGGTCCAGTAAATTTTTTTACATATTGATGAGGAACTTCATATCTACTTTTATTTAGATCAGTAATCTGCAAAGATTTGACCAAAGTAACATTATGTGATTCACATCTATTATTTAATTTTTAATGCAAAATTAAGTACTGACTATAAATTCCATATAGAAAAGCTTATACTTAGTAATGTTATAGATGAGCTATTAATCTACTCACAACTTTAACATTGTTGAATGACTATTGTTATTGGTTGAATTAACAGTGTTCCTCCCAAAATATGTATTGGAATCCTAACCCCTATGCTTGTATATATGAGCAGAGCTCTGGTATGGCACTGAAGGGTAAGCATTGGACTAACAACCATAAGGTCAGCAGTACAAAACCACCAAGCGGTCTCAGAAATCCTACACAAAGTTGGAATCCACTTGCCGGCACACAACAACAACATATTTGTGTATGTATTCTGTTTGGGAATAGGAGTTTTTCTTTGTTGTGTTAATGAAGCTATATCAGTATAGGATGTGTCCCAAATGTAATTGATTCTGAGTGATATAAAGAACAGCATAAGAAGAAATATTCCCCAAGTAGGACAAGAAGAGTCCTGGTGTGGCACTGTAGGATAAGCACAGGACTGCTAACTGTAAGGTCGGTAGTTCAAATGCACTAGCTGCTCCTAGGAAAACCTATACAGGGTTGTTGTGAGTCAAAACTGACTCCATGGCCCTTAACAACAACTAGCTAAAAGATTGGTCATTTGACCCACTAAGAGGCTCCATGAACTTAAGACTCCAATCTATTTCGGAAAGGTCAAAACCTTGAAAACACTATGGAGCAGGTCTGCTCTGCATACGTGGGGTTTCCATGAACTGGAATCAAATAGTTGGCAGCTAATAGCAATAAACACTGAAGCTGCTGCTGTTTGGACTCCTGGTGTGGTGCTGTAGGATCAGCACTGGACCACGAACCACAAGATCAGCAGTTTAAACCCACCAGCTCTCCTGGAAAACCTTACACAGGGTCACTGTGAGTTAGAACTAACTAGGTGGCACTTAACAACACCAACAAAAAAAGACACCGAGATGCTGCTCTTTCTTACTCATAGTGACCCTGTATAGGGTTTCTGAGGCTACAAATCTTTATAGAAGCAGAAAGCTTTATCTGTGACCCTTGCAGGTTAGCAGCCCATTCAGCTACCAGGCAGACACTGAGGCAAGTGAACGTAAATGAAGATCACCCAGAAACCAAGGAACAGAAGAAGAAAAGAACCAAAGATCGTCCCCTGGAGTCTAAAGAGAGAGAGAAAGAAAAAGATTTCTCCAATGGCTAGTGTCCTGAATTCTGAACCTTGTGAATTGTAAGAAAATTTAAACTTCCCACTTGTGATATTTGTGTTACAACAGCACTTGAAAACTTAGCTTTGAACAGAATAAATCATACAAATTGTTAAGGAACATGAAGAATTACATGACTATAAAAATACTGTGTATAAAATTGATATAAGATTTTCATTGCTAGATATAAAAATCAATGGTAATATGACTAAAACATGATTATAAAATACTACTAGTTTTTGCAAATTTAATCATCCTTACTGCTTTTCAGAAATTTTGTCCTTAGAAAATACTATAAGAATTTTGAATGTTGTTCTAAAAATGTCTTTATTCTTATGATGTTGCTAAAGAGGAACTATACAAAGGCCATGGTGTTTTCAGTTCTAAAATTCGAAAGCAGTATTAAGAAAATACTTGCTTAAAAACAAGGGCAAGAATTAGTTGTTTGTTTGTTTTAAATCATGAATAAGCTAAAGGGTTAAGGAGTATAACTTGCACTGATACAACACTGATACAATTATCATCTTATGCATATTAATTTTTAAATGTATCCTTCATCATAACCTGTGAAGTAATAAAAATTACAAGTATTTATTCAGAACTTAATTCTTCTCATTGCCAAGGCAGTGTAATAAGTATTTTCCATAGATTATGTTATTTGTACTTTCCAAAAATACCTGCAGGAGGCACTATCATTCATATATTACATTGGAGTAAGCAGGCAAAAAGAAGCCATTTACCAAATTAGTCCCTTTCATTGAAATATATATTATTACTCCAGAGGGAAAATATCTGTGGAGAATGAAGGGATTCATCATGAAATGCCTTTAAGTTTTAAATGTTCCTTAGAAATCTTAAAAGCCAAACCTTGAACCGGAAACGATTAGGTGTCTGACTTTCCGTTGTAAAGAGGACACTGTTAAGGTCATTTCCAAATAGGGTAGGTGAAGATATTCTGTTTAATTGGGCTTCAAGTCCTTAAAGACAGAAGAAAGCAGATACGAATGATTTTGCTGGCTATAAAGATAAATAATTAAACCTTTTTCATTGTTTTTATCATTTCATTATTGAGGTTTTTTTTTTCTTAGTTTCTAGAATCTAGCAATCATGCAAAAAAGAAATGTCTAATATAATAAATGGGAACATTTTTGTGTACATATTTCACATTTGATTCTATTTAAGATAAGTTTCTCAAAGAAAAAATTAAAATTTATTTTCTTTGTTCCACTTATATCACAATGAGTCAGTACCATAGAGCACATCTTACCTGTATTTGTTACTTTTACTTCCTGAGCTTTATAGCCATGGTTTTCTGCAAAGAAGCACCAAGGGATATTGGAGTAATTCCATGGCCTCCAGCAGCAGCCTCTCTGAGCACAAATTGCCTGTGAAAATATATTTATTTAAAAGGAATCATATATTATTACTGTTATCAGATGCATCGATATCTACTTTATGATCATTCATTCATTCCACTGAACAATTATTTCTAAAATATGCCTCTTTCTTCACAATATATAATATGTTGAAAAGTCACCTATTATTTTATTCCTTTCACCTGGGAGAAATATAAATATTTAATTCACTGAATTAATTACACCCTATCAGAGATTGATGCTGAGTTGTGATTCGTTAAGTTCACATATACATTATTGTAAATTTATATACTTGAAAGGATTCTGTTCTTTGGGTAATTAAAAATCTATTATTTTGGCATAATGTTTAAACAAAGAGCTGAAGTATTTGTTATGTGCTAATTATGTGAAAGTTGGATAATGAATAAGGAAGAATTGATGCATTTGAGTTAAGGTATTTGAGAAGAATATTAAAAGCACCATGTACTACCAGGAGAACAAATAAATCTGTATTGGAAGAAATACAGCCAGAATACTCCTAGAAGCCAGGATGCTAGACCTCTTCTATCACACTTCACACATATTATCAGCAGGGACTAGTCCCTGGAGAAAGACAGCATGCTTGGTAAAATGGAGGGTCAGAGAAAGAGTGCAAGGCCTCCAATGAGATTGATTAGTTCATTAACAGTAGCAATGGGATCAAGGGTAACAACAATTATGAGGATGGCACAGGACCAGGCAGTGTTTCATTGTGTTGTGCAGAAGGTAATGATGATGCAGAACCCACCTGACTCCCTAATAACAACAACAACAATCATGTATCAGGGTTGCTATGAGTAGGAACCAACTCGATGGCACTTAACAACAACAAATTATGTATCAGGAGTCCTCATGTGGCATTATAGGATAAGCACTAGACTGTTTACCACAAGATTGGTGGTTCCACCCAACCAGTCCCTCCCTGGAAACCCTATATAGAGTCACTATGAGTTGGAATCGACTTGGTGGTACTTAACAACAACAAAAATGATGTATCAAGCTGACAATATTGGCATAAAGATGATAATATGGCCCTGAATTTAGGCTCACACAAAATGTTTAAGGTAATTATTTCCAACTAAGTATTAGCTAAAGATTAAATTATTTAAGTTAGTTTGTATGCTAGGTATTACATTTCATGAGTTTGGGGAAATTATGAATTTTTCAATAATTTTCGAATGCATAAAATTATTTTAAATGACAGGAGAATTATATTTAAAGCATAAAAGTTGACTCACATACATATGTTATGCTTTGAAACTGGCAGAATTAAAAATCGAGTTAATATTTTATATTCAGTAGTTCATCATTTTGCGATTTACTGGTTAATCTAATTTGAATTGAGGTACGGAAGAACAAACTCAGGAAATTCTATTAGTTCTCATCTGTTTACTCAGAGGCACAGTAAATGGATAAATGAAGTCGAATGATGTGGTGCTGTAGAGTCAGCACTGGACTGTGAACCTCAAGTTGAGCAGTTTAAATTCATGAGCTGTTCCTTGGAAACTCTATATAGGGTCGTTATGAGTTGGAACCAACTTGAGAGTAGTTAACAATAGCAATAATTTATAGCTAGATGACAAAATAAGGAACTGATTTAATATTGAGTGATTGCTCTGGTAGCGTAGTGGTTACGAATCGGTCTGCGAACCTTAAGACCATCAGTTCGAAACTATCAGCCGCTCCGTGGGAGAAAGATAAGGCGTTCTGCTCCGGTAATGATTTACAGCCTCGGAAACCCTGTACAGGGTCGCTATGGGTCGGAACCGACTCAACGGCACTTAACAACAACAACCTTATTATAGTGATTATGATACATACAATCATAAAAACATTAAAGACTTGTGACAAACCTGTGTTGGAAATTGGTCTGGAATGCAGTTTATTCTCTGATTCACAGGATCATTTTGCTCATTGGGGCATTTACCTAAACCAGGTGGAGTTGAAGTAGGACCACTAATTTCTGAAGAAAAAAAAAAAAGTCATTAAAAAACTTTATATTAATTATTTTCAGATTCTTCAACAATGAATACATTGAAAAAACACATCATTCAAAAAATAATTAATCTGAAAATTAAAGTTTGCATTAAAAATGGACTCACAATTGATTCCTGGTGTGGCGCTGGTGTCACTTGACCCCAGGTCGGCGGTTCAAACCCACCAGCCGCTCCTTGGAAACCCTATACAGGGTTGCTATGAGTCAGAATCGACTCTACGGCACTTAATAACAACAATAACAAGTCAGGAAAAGGAAAGATCCAAATTACACATAAAATTTGACAGTTTAGAGTTCGGCTGATTGCTCTACAAAAATCAAAATATAATCACAGAAATTGAGGTAGACTCAAAAGGAAACAAAATAATTATTCACACCTCACACCTATTTACAGTTTGTTCTATACAGGAAGAAAGAAGATGTGGAAAAATTGTATGATATAGTGTGTAGAGGAAACAGGAAGTAGAGAAAAAGGAAAAAGAAAACAGGAGTAAACAAATGTTTTGAAAGAAAAATCTGTTATGTAGAAAAAAGAAAGAGAATAAGGAAAAACGCATTTCAACTCTAAAAGTTCTGAATTATCAGATATGAAAAGGATTCATAATGTGTTAAGCTCTGTTACTGGGAGAAGTTAAAAGACTGACAGCAATAAAAATTGTTAATGAACATGTAGGCATAGACTAGAAGATCATTGATAATATTCATTCAAATTCTGATTTAGTTTAGAGAGAGAATGTTGAAGAAAGAGAAAGTGGTCCAGAGCAAAATGTTCTTATTCTAAATTAGGATAAAAATGTTAAAATAATAACAAATAAACACCTCAAACCTTGTTTGCCCTTCCCCTATCTGTCTTGTCTTGAAACCTTCCTCTTGTTAAATAAATAATTGCTCCTAAGACGATGGGATATTCAAAGAAATTTCTCATCACCTCTGCACGTGCCTGAAGGCTAGACCAAAAACCCAGGTGTCACTACTAATAATAAATCACTCACCGGTAGCAATAGATGATCATTCTACCTAATATTGACACCTTCACTCCTTTATCACTTTGCTATTCTCAAGCAACATACTCTAGGGAATGTCATAGTGCAGAAATCCCTTAATTATAACAACTTCACTTAAATAATTGGAGCACATTGGATGGAAAAAGTTCAGTAATTGTATATGCTATCCTAGCTCTTTCTTCACATAGGTGTTTCATATAGATTTTCTTTTTTTTTTTTAATGTCTAACTATTATGGGGTAACCTTTGTTTCAACTAACTACCGTGTATAAGAAGGCGCTCTGGTAGCACAGTGGACTATGAATTGGGCTGCTAATTGCAAGGTCAGCAGTTTGAATATTCTAGGTGGTTCATGGGAGAAAGATGAGGCTTTCTGCTCTTGTAAAGATTTAAAGCCTCAAAAAACCTGTATCAGGTTTCTATGAGTTGGAACTGACTCCCCAGCATATAACCACCACCACCATGTATAAGGAATCCTGGTGTGATGCTGTAAGATAACAATTGACTACTAACCACAAGGTCAGTGGTTCAAGCCCTCGAGTCGCTCCCTGGAAATTCTATATTGAGTTACCATGAGTCCGAACTGACTCCACAGGACTTAACAAAATCAACCATGTATAAAGGGACTCTGGTAGGGTAGTGGGTTATGTGTGCCGCTGCTAACTACAAGGTTAGCAGTTCGAATCTATTGGTGGCTCTGCTGGAGAAAGATGAGGCTTTCTGCTTCTATGAAGATTTACAGACTCACAAACCCTATACAGGATCACTATGAGTCTGAACTGACTAGATGGCATACAACCACCATGTATAAGGGGTATGGGCGTGTCACTGTAAGAAAAGTGTTGAACTGTTAGCCACAGTGCCAGTGGTTCAAACGTACTGGCTGCTCCTCAGAAACCCTTGCAGGGTCTCTATGAGTAGCACTGACATGAAGATACTTAATAACAACAACAATGTATAAGTATTTTTAGTATTACTTACCTTCAACAGCGGGTGTCTTTGTTGCTAAAACAGCAACCAGAGCAATAGCTATTATAGTAACTATAACAAAGAGGACAATCAGAGAGATTTCTAATCCACTGAGTTTCTTCCTTGCCATCTAAATGAAAAAGAGTAATGTATATTTAAAACACAAAATAATTATATCTAATTATGACCAAATATCATTCTATATATATGGAGCTTTGGCAGTTTCACAGGAGAAAGACCTAGAGATCTGCTTCAGTAAATATTACAGTCTAGATAACCCCATGGACAGTCCTATTCTGTCCTGTTTGTTGCTAATGTGTCAAAAATCAACCTGACAGCACCTAACAAGAAAAATAAATATATAGAGGATCAATTACTTTCTCAAAATCAAAAATTCCAATTCTTCCTAATCTAACTCATTTCCAATTCCAACACTGCTTTTCTGTAACAAAAGTATGGAAAGGAATTATAAGTATATGTAGGTTTTGATGTTGGTAGTATGTATTTTGGAGTTGCTTTTTTTTTTTTTTTTTAACTTGAACTAAATGATCACCAACTTCCTCCTTTATTTATTTTATAACAAAATATATTAAACTCTTCTACAAAAATTCATATTTGTTTCTGAAAATCATGTCTTCTGCCTTGGTGACACTGTAGCGTAAGAAATGGATTATTAACTTCAGGGTCAGCAATTTAAAACCACCAACTGCTTCACAGGAGAAAGATAAAAATGAGATTTTCTGCTGTCATAAAGATTTACAGCTTCTGACAACCTTTAGAGAGTCACTACGATGGCAGCCGTGTCCCATTTTGGAGACCAGGTATGGCACTTGTAGGATAAGAACTGAATTGCTAATCGCAAGGTTGAAGGTTCAAAACTACCAGCTGCTCCTCAAAAACCCTATACACAATGTAAGATAACATACAGAGCATAGCTAAATGTAGTGGGAATAGCCCTTCTCAGTCATGTGTCTTAGTACATATTTATTCAATTTAATTTTTAACATACATCTCTTAGTTCTTCTAATCCTGAAGTTTTCATTCTTTTTTTTTTTTTTTTGCAATCCATAGGAGCTCTGGTAGGGTAGTGGTTATGAGTAAGGCTGCTAATCTCATGGTCAGCAGTTTGAAACTACCAGCAGTTCTGCGAGAAAAAGACTAGGCTTTCTGCTCCTATAAAGATATACAGCCACAGAAACCCTACACAAGGTTGCTAGGAGTCAGAACCTACTCCACAGCACATCACCACCACCACCAATTTTATATAAATCTTGATTCAATGTCAGATTTCTTAGCCACCAGAGTTAATGTTCAAAGAAATTAGTGATTAATTTCTTAGTAAATAGCATACACTGTAGAATTTCTTGTCAATAAGCTGTTATTTCCCTATACAGAAATATACTTTTATAGCAGTGATTATCTATTTAAGTATAACTTTCACTCCATGAACTTTAAGCACCTTTATTATCTAACTCCTAAGTGAAACCTCTTTATCAACATCAACTATATTATAATATTTTGAGACTTTGCTACCTCTACACCAAAGAAGCAATTTATAAGGCGTTACACCCTTTCCTAACCCCTGCAATTATTTGTGTTATCTGTGCTTTTCCCTTTCTTTTTCTGAAGTCAGTTTCATGTATTCCATATCACCTGCCTAGTTCATTGATATCATACCTAGTGTCTTGATATCATTTCTTTATCTGGTGCAGTTCCTGGTGTGGTTAAATATTAGTCATTTTGTCCCCTTGTACATTTTCAAGTGATTTATAGATTGTCAATTGAGCAAAGCTACATTTATCAAGCCAATTCAAGTCTTTCGATGATACTCGTTATAAAAGTCTGTTTATTGTTATTCCATCAACTTATATTCAAGCTTTTAATAAACCAGTTTACCTCACAACCATGGTGGACAACTTCATACTGAAAGTAATAGAGCTTGTCCTCAGTATATAAAGGCTTTTCTTGTTTGTTTCTATGAAATTTAGAAATTAATTCACTTTGATCCCTACCAAAATGGCTAAAATTCCACTAGATGTATGGTTTTATCTTATTCTTCAGTATTGTAATGGATATACATTTATATGCAATATATATATACA